AAAAAAAAAAGACAAATGAACGTTGCGGCCATAGAGCCTTCATCAACACATTGTATAAATATAAATACGGCACATAGAAAATACTGAAAATCACTTAACTGAAGCTTCGCTGAGAGAAATCACATATCTTTTTGGCCAATAGAATGTCTCTCTCTCCCCCTCACTCTCTCTCTCTCTCTCTCTCTCTCTCTCTCTCTCTCTCTCTCTCTCTCTCTCTCTCTCTCTCTCTCTCTCTCTACCTACCTATCTATCTTGCAAAAACAATAACCCTATTTGTGGAGTATTTTATTGCAAATGGTTTGCAGTGTGGAAATTTAATGTCTTGTTCTACTTCATAATGAAGAACAGGATATCTCGTAAATAACAAGATATCTGTTGAGTCTGTACTGTAGAACAGAGAAAAATCTATCAAGTACCATTTCCAGGTTAGAGGTCGTTGTTGTTTAAAAATTTTTTATCCGAAAAGAAATTTGGATGCAGTTGTTCTCAGACATCTACTATCCCTGTGTGAGTTCCGGTGCTCTAATGGGAGTGGGGTGGGGGAGGGGGGACAGACCCCCTAGGCCCCCCCCCCTTGTTGTAAACCCGACTAATTGACGGTGTTCACTACGAAGTTAAAGTGCAGCTAAGAGGCGAGGAACCAACAGCCTGCACGCAGATCAGCTAGATCTGCTCTGGTATAGTATATGGTACCATTGAAATAAGAACAACGGATCCATATCATGGCACATTGTAGTAATCTATAAGTGCTCCATTCTTCTTCCAAGCCTGAGTCCGAAGAAGCTAAGCACAGTGCACAAGCTCTGTAGCATCGGCGAGGATCCTAAAATACTTTGGGTAGATTTTTAACTCAAAATTTTGCCCTGTAAGCGCCGTTAGGCTTCTCTTTTTGATTTCCCAACAGTCAAGGGATTTTTTACTTGCGGAACAATGCACACGGGCGTCCTATCTCACTACTCAGAGACCAGGGGAAATTACTAGAAGTCCAAGTCCATGTGAAAAAATCCCATCCCTTACCGGGGATTGAACATCGAACCTTGCACTCGAGGAGGACTCCATGCCTCAAGACTACGCAGCCCTCTCCTTGTACCATTGAGTACCTCTTCACCCGGGCATCTCAGTGGCTAAGTCATCAAACGGCTTGCCTTGTGCCCTGAAGGTCGTGGATTCCTTTCACAGACGCGTAACTCAGATTCCGAGTGCAGTTTTTACAGAAATCCATAGGACTGCCGCTGTAGGAGCTACAGAGTTCGTGCTTTGTGCGACGGACATCACAGTTTGTTCAAAGTATCCAGAAGCCATGAGTTGTAAATCCTTTGTCTCGGTACTAGGGATATCGCAAACTTTCGGCCTTGATTCCATGATAGGTACCGTAAATCTGGGAGAAATGTGGCTTTTCTACCTACCCCCGGGAGTGAACCCGGACCACAAGGAGTTCGACACCCGGCCGCCGCGAAAGTCAGGTTTAACCAACTACGTTAGAGAGCCGGGCGACATCACAATATAAAATATTCTAGCAAGCATTGTTAAAGACACTTTCTAAACACGGTTGAAGGGGACGTTTTGGTCTCCTTACAAAAAATACGGTGCAGGGGGGTGGGGGGGGGAGGGGGGAATTGGGGGCTCATGGGCTTGAGCTTATGTATGCGATTGTAGGGGAGGGACTTTCGGAGCTCTGCCAGCCATCTTATGAAATCGTCAAAGTGTTAGGGTGGGAGTGGGGCCTTCAGAAGCCTAAGCTTTGTTCAAGTGATTAATGATAATGATGATGGTGAAGATGATGATGGTGATGATGGTGATGATGATGTTGATGATGATGATGTTGATGATGATGTTGATGATGATGATGTTGTTGATGATGATGATGTTGATGTTGATGATGTTGATGATGATGATGTTGATGATGCTGATGATGTTGATGATGATGACGTTGATGATGTTGATGATGTTCATGATGATGATGATGGTGGTGGTGGGGATGATGATGAGGTTGATGATGTTGATGATGTTCATGATGTTGTTGATGATGATGATGGTGGTGGTGGGGATGATGATGATGATGATGATGATGACGATGATGATGATGATGATGATGATGATGATGATGGTAATGATGATGGTGGTGATGATGATGTTGATGGTGGTGATGATGATGATGGTGATGATGATCACGATGATGATGAGGATGATGGTGGTGATGATGATGATGATAATGATGTTGATGATGGTGATGATGCTGATGTTGATGATGGTGATGATGAGGACGACGAGGATGATGATGATGATAATGATAATGACAAGCTGAATAATAAATTGTTTTATAAAAATGTTTGAATTATATGTAAAAACATTTTTTTTTTAAACCCACACACTTCAGAACGAGAACATATATACATGATTGGGATTAACAGCTTAGCCTCGTTTGAAATTGGGGCTCTGGGAGGGAGTTCTTTTTTTTTTGGGGGGGGGGGGGCGAGCCTACATTTGTTCGGGAGAAGAGGAGAAGGAGTTGAAGATACCTAAGCCACCAGGTTTTAGCGCCCCTGATTGTAAAACTGGGTTTAATAGCCGGGTTTCACAGCACTGCGGCTTCATCAGTTAGTGCTCCCACTCCTTTTTCTCGTTCGCAGTAATCATTCTCGTGAGTGCGCCGCCCGTGTTGTGTTGTTTACTGCTGCTGCCTGTGTAATGGTTGAAAGATTGATTCGTTTCCTTTCCTTTGAACGGAAATTCCGTGTTTTTGTCGTCTGAACGGAGTAGGATGTTTTGTTTCAAATTAAATTCTGTCCACTTTAAGGTTTTATCCGGTTTTCGTTAACTATCTTTGGTTCACTTATTATTAAATAAATAAATAAATAAATAAATAAATAAATAAATAAATAAATAAATAAATAAATAAATAAATAAATAAATAAATAAATAAATAAAAGGACATTGTACTTCCTTGTGTCCACCGAATGTAAAACGCCTGCTGCCGATTGCTCACCAACACAAAGACAAATGCAGCCGATTGCGCACCAACACATACAAATATGCAACCTCAAAACACACCACTAATCACTGGCATCAGAGAGCTAATAGACTTAAATGGTTAAGACATTCTGAAAGAATGTCAGATGACAGAGAAGTATAAACTATATACACTTGGAGATGAATGGTCGTAGACCAGGAGGCAGACCAAGAAGACGATGGAGAGATAATATCTAGATAGACCTCCAAAATCTTGGTGTCATCAACTGGAAAGAGGAGACCAACCAGAGATAAATGGAGGCGTGTGATATCTGCAGTAATAAACCATAGGGGCTCGAAATGTTGAAGAAAAAAAAACAAAAAAACAAACAGCACAAGAAGCTCACAAAACTCACACTTGCACGGCAAATGACAGGATACCACCCCCTGAAGTAGTCGACTGTCCCGTTAGCTGTTGATTTCCCCTGGATTTCCAGTGTTTGGGATAAAAAAAAGACGAAAGAACCAAGTTCTGATGTATGTTCGTCCTTTTCTTCATTTTGGCCATGTTCGAGACCTCGATTTTGCGTGCTCATGTGTTTTACAGACTTTGCGTTCTTGTATGCAAACTGTTGGTTCCTAGCTATCAGTTGGACGAACTTCGACTTTAAATGAATCTTTTGTCAGTTATTAGGCTTGACTGAGTTGGAAGTACAAGTAACCACAAATCCCCAACCCCATTTAGAAGGTCGAACACACCCTTAATAAGCTGGCTGGACGTGTCTTAGCCACTGAGCGAACAAATCTTCTGGAATACTGAAGGCACAGATTGGTCGTTGACAAAAGTTAGTTAGTTAGTCGACAGACTAACCTCTTTGCCCATCGAACAATTCAGTCACGTTTTCAGAAGGACAACATTGCACAAATGGAGACAATAAATCATAACAACTACTGGTACAACAAATTATTTAAGCCTTTCGCTTGGAGCAAATAAAATAGACCCTAATTATAACCGAAGCTGTTCTAAGCAGGGATAAACGGGGTAAAATATCTGGTGCGCCCCTTACAACTAACAACAACTCAGCAGAGGTGAATCAGAAAATTTAAGCGTGTGATATCTGTAGCAGTGATTCGTAAGGGCTTGGAAATTTCAAGACGAAGAAGAAACAAATGATGGTAGTTGTCATGGACACGACGTTTATTGATAATATTGTTAACTTCATTATCATCTTCATCACTATCCTCATTGTCATCATCAATTTTGATTGGACAGATATAGGAAGTTAACGTTAAATAAGGCAAATTTAACACTGTATATTTACTGTGGCATCTCTTATCAGTTATCATCTTAGTGTTTCTTCGGGGCGTCATGGCCTACTTTATCCTATTTTTTCCTATTCCAATACCTGTTTGGTGATTCTCTACTGGTTTCTTTCCAGGATTTGTCGAATGTAGCCCCATCTTCCCTGCCTTACAACTGTTGATATTTGTGTCTGCCCAGACATTTATCTTATTTCTTCACCACTTTTGATTTCATCCTAACAAAACATAATTCTTTTGCCAGGAAGCTGTAATTTCAGTAATTCATTATATGAGGCGTTAGCTGCTTAACGTAAAACTTTAAATTGTATATCATCTTGCCTGGCATAGTTCGCGTTATCTTGTCAGGTCCACACTACAATCATAACATTAAAAAGCGGATAAATGAATCAAGACGAAATCAAGTACATTAACAAGAAACTTCATGTTTCACTAGGCAGCTGCAAGGTAACGACCATGTCCTTTTGTCTGCATAATTCTGGACTAAACCGGTTAATAGCCGTTGCTTCCATGAACCGCAGTAACCTGCTGTTGGCTGAGGTATAAAGAATTCGAAATGCGACATCTTTGTTTAAACTGTGCCCAGAATTCAAAAGATGGTGCAGGGTGCTTCAATTTAATCATAATCACTGTAGTATACACCTCATGAGATCCAGCGAAACAAATAAATTGTGCAGTTTACTGTTTTGTGTCTTATTTGTTCAAACTCACAACAGGGATTTGACACAACCTTAAACTGTTGTAGGGGAAGAAGAATTGGAAAGGCGCCAAAAGAGCATTAATTTCGCCAACGTATGTCGGAATCGTTTACTAAAACAGGAGTATAAATAAAAATTAACTGAGGCATTAACTAGCTGCAAGAGATTACAGATGTTGCCTGCAATTTTTAATGCTGTAGAGCTGCCTGCGATGTTGTTACTGGAGAGGTAAGTCTGGTACAAATACAACGCCGTCCAAGGCAACTGACAGAACAGAAATATCATTACAATGGTAATCAACATTATCGTCACTTTGTTCTGCTCTCGTGTGGATCGTCTGTTTTGGCGGGGTTTTAGCTTGACCCTAAACGAAGGCGTGTTGGAGTTTGAGGAAGACCTTTCCGACATCTGAGTGACAGAATTGTTGTCCTGGACAACGTGCTGATGATTGTCCTTTTTGTTCTTCGTGTTAGCGTCTTGGCTTTTGCTTATGGTTGTAGAGACAAGGGCCAATTGCTGTCGTTTCCTGGCAGCAACGAAAAGGGCCCGGATGAGAACGCAGTTGAATATTGTTAAACAGATGAAAGGAATGAAGGTAAACACAAGGACGTACCACCATGAGTAGCCAATCTCGTAGCTAAAACTCCTTGCAAACTGCGTGGGGCTACAGCGAGGGCCCAAAACTGTGTTGACGACCTCGAGTTCAAATAAAGTCGGTATTGTGTTGATCAGCGCAAGAATCACTACCGAAAGCGAAGCAATTTCGGCTCGGGTTACCGTGCACCATACTTTTCCCTGCATGGGATGGCACACAGCAATATACCTCTCGACCGTAAACACAACAGTTACCCATACTCCCACATTTCCGGAATAATTACTCACAAATCTCCCGTATGGGTTGAACAAATAAGCGCTGTCGTGCAGTCCTCTTTTCCGACAGTCAAGAATGGACAGAGCGAAGTTGAAGACCAAGAAAACGCTATCCGCTAGTGACAGAACCAAGAGGTATACATTTGTCGACGTTCTCATTGATGGCTGGAATAGGACAATGATGTTGAGGAAGTTTCCTAGGAGGCCAATGGTCACAATAACCGGGGTTAGAACACCTTGGACTACAAATCGAGTGTTTTGTAAAGATTTCTCTATTGTAACCGGTTCTGGAATGTCTGTCGTGTATCCGAGTAAATCCTTGTAAATAAACGTTAAGTTACTAACATTCAGCACCTCGTTAATCTCTTGCACATAAAGGGCTGCCATAGTTCAGGGACTGCCGAGTAATGACGAGTCCTTATGCTAATCCAACTACGTGGAAGTAATGCCTAGCAAAGCAAGTCTATGTTGTCGTCTAGGTCTCAACACGAATGGAAACATCCAAACTGCAATGGCGATGATTTTGATATCATGATAAACGTCGTTCACAGAAAATACTGCACACATCGCCTTTCAAATAATGAAATAAAATATATCCTTTAATATTTAGAAACAAATGTCACATATGTTATGTATCTTCTTACTGTAATCCATGTCTGAAGCGTTGGTAATCTTTACGGTCCCCAACCTTCTGTCTCGTGAACAATTATGTGTAACTATATAATGTCCACTATTGTACTGCTCAGATTGTTTCTGGTAATACTTTCACTGACCCATAATCTTCAACATACACCAGACAAGCCCATAAACGCTCGGATCCCCTCTTCAGGATCTCCCTCAGCGCGTAGCGACTGATGACTCCGGTTCTACGTTGGTTTACTACTCTTCTTAGGCTACCAGTATAGTGTTCATGTCTGGCAACATCTCTACTGAAAATGATGTCGGATAAATGTTGTCATTTACCTTAGTTATTCATTAATTTATGAAAAAATTTTTTTGTGTGCAAGTACCTTCTCGGATACTTATTGTACTGAATTTATCTTGAGCAGTTCTAGGATGCAGTTAATGAACCCAGTTTGGACAGCGTTTCTATCAACTGATTGAGAATGTTTTCCTCTGAACACAGCTGAATAATGTCCGTCGTAAATTCATCTGAAGAATATTCACCGTCGTCACGTAAGAAATATTCATAATAAATGGTTGAAGAATGTCGTAATGAACACAACAGGGGGTATTTTCATAAATAACTGATGGAGAATGTTTCTGATAAACAGAGTTGAATCATTTTCGCAGTAAATTCATCTGAAGAATGTTCGTCATCGGCCTCTGTAAAATGCTCGTAATAAATGGTTGAAGAATGTTGTTTCGTCACACCGCTACAGGATTGTAGTCCAGTATAGTTTTCGATAAATGTATTATGCCTCTCGCGTGTAGTATCTGTTACTTAAATCCTGCCGGCTTGCTATGCCCGTCGTAACGTAGGATATTTGAACACACAAGTAATATCCAAAATGTCAGGCACATTGATCTCAACTCACCGTCTGTTGGCAACAGTTCATTCTGGGCGTCTCTAAGTCTACAATGAAATGTGTGCTGAATTTACAGTCTCTTTTCTGAATAAGTTAGGGGAGCTGTCCTTGAATTGACAAACAGATTAGACTGGCAAGAAATCAATACAAACGTATGTTCCTTAACTGGCCAGTAGTTAGTGAATGTAGTCGGAGCTGGCCAACTAGACAGTCTTTTGTGGTAGTTTCATTTTGGAAAGTTTTATTTTTGGCAACAATTTGTGGAAATCCGATTTTCTTGAAAGAAAAGCGATTTTTCAATAGCTAATATTTCCCTTACGGTTTTTACTTTTTCACTCGTTCTACTGGTTTGACTTAACCCGCCCCGACATGGGATCCATTTTGTTTTTAAAAATTAAAGCCTCATCCCGGCTGGATTTGTGGGTACGTCGTAACTGTTGCAGGGGTTTCTGGGACGTGATTCTGATCTGAATAGTGGTTGCACTTAGTGTCACTGGGTGTTAGAATCTCGTTGTGCGGTTCTAGTCGGGGTTAAACCTCACTCATTAACTATTTCACAGTTTATGTCGATGTATGGCAGGGGAGGTCCTGAGTCTGACAGTTTATGTTGATGTATGGCAATGAAAGTCCTGAGTCTGACAGTTTGTGTCGATGTATGGCAGGGGAGGTCCTGAGTCTGACAGTTTATGTTGATGTATGGCAGGGAAGGTCCTGAGTCTGACAGTTTATGTTGATGTATGGCAATGAAAGTCCTGAGTCTGACAGTTTATGTTGATGTATGGCAGTGAAAGTTTTGAGTCTGACAGTTTATGTTGATGTATGGCAATGAAAGTCCTGAGTCTGACAGTTTATGTTGATGTATGGCAATGAAAGTTTTGAGTCTGACAGTTTATGTTGATGTATGGCAATGAAAGTCCTGAGTCTGACAGTTTATGTTGATGTATGGCAATGAAAGTCCTGAGTCTGACAGTTTGTGTTGATGTATGGCAATGAAAGTCCAGAGTCTGACAGTTTATGTTGATGTATGGCAATGAAAGTCCTGAGTCTGACAGTTTGTGTTGATGTATGGCAATGAAAGTCCAGAGTCTGACAGTTTATGTTGATGTATGGCAATGAAAGTCCTGAGTATGACAGTTTGTGTTGATGTATGGCAGTGGAGGTCCTGAGTCTGACAGTTTATGTCGATGTATGGCAGGGGAGGTCCTGAGTCTGACAGTTTATGGCGATGTATGGCAGTGGAGGTCCTGAGCCTGACAGTTTGTGTTGATGTATGGCAATGGAAGTCCAGAGTCTGACAGTTTATGTTGATGTATGGCAATGAAAGTCCTGAGTCTGACAGTTTGTGTTGATGTATGGCAATGAAAGTCCAGAGTCTGACAGTTTATGTTGATGTATGGCAATGAAAGTCCTGAGTATGACAGTTTGTGTTGATGTATGGCAGTGGAGGTCCTGAGTCTGACAGTTTATGTCGATGTATGGCAGGGGAGGTCCTGAGTCTGACAGTTTATGGCGATGTATGGCAGTGGAGGTCCTGAGCCTGACAGTTTGTGTTGATGTATGGCAATGGAAGTACTGAGTCTGACAGTTTGTGTTGATGTATGGCAATGGAAGTACTGAGTCTGACAGTTTGTGTTGATGTATAGCAATGAAAGTCCTGAGTCTGACAGTTTATGTTGATGTATGGCAATGAAAGTCCTGAGTCTGACAGTTTATGTTGATGTATGGCAATGAAAGTCCTGAGTCTGACAGTTTATGTTGATGTATGGCAATGAAAGTCCTGAGTCTGACAGTTTATGTTGATGTATGGCAATGAAAGTCCTGAGTCTGACAGTTTATGTTGATGTATAGCAATGAAAGTCCTGAGTCTGACAGTTTATGTTGATATATGGCAGTGGAGGTCCTGAGCCTGACAGTTTGTGTTGATGTATGGCAATGAAAGTCCAGAGTCTGACAGTTTATGTTGATGTATGGCAATGAAAGTCCTGAGTCTGACAGTTTGTGTTGATGTATGGCAATGAAAGTCCTGAGCCTGACAGTTTATGTTGATGTATGGCAATGGAAGTACTGAGTCTGACAGTTTGTGTTGATGTATGGCAATGAAAGTCCTGAGTCTGACAGTTTGTGTTGATGTATGGCAATGAAAGTCCTGAGCCTGACAGTTTGTGTTGATGTATGGCAATGGAAGTACTGAGTCTGACAGTTTATGTTGATGTATGGCAATGGAAGTACTGAGTCTGACAGTTTGTGTTGATGTAAGGCAATGAAAGTCCTGAGTCTGACAGTTTATGTTGATGTATGGCAATGAAAGTCCTGAGTCTGACAGTTTATGGCGATGTATGTCAGTGGAAGTCCTGAGTTTGACAGTTTATGTTGATGTATGGCAATGAAAGTCCTGAGTCTGACAGTTTATGGCGATGTATGTCAGTGGAAGTCCTGAGTTTGACAGTTTGTGTTGATGTATGTCAGTTGAGGTCCTGAATCTGACAGTTTATGGTTCTGTCAACAGTGCAGACGCCACAAATGGCGTTGGTTTAGACAGAAAAACCACATGACTGCAAAAATACACGCCGCTCGCTGCTAGCGTTGTTTCTATTCTTTGTTATAGGGTTAAGTTCAATCCTCCAGTCTATTTTGATTTTGAGAGAGAATTGCGGCATCAGTTCCCTGTCCACACTGTTCAAAAACTTTCAGTGCTAGAATTGGCCTTATCAGCCACATGCGAACTCACAAAACTAAATCCAGTCACCACTGGATGAAAGAACTGGTCGTCATCACTCTGTGATGGACGAACGACGACAACAACAATGTTGATTTCGAGCTAAGCATGTTCGTAAGCATGGCACCAACAGATTTGTTGTACCTCGAATAACATTCAGTTTAATTGGTTGTTGTATATCCACATCAGGGTACTGAAAGGTAATCTTAGCACTAGGGCATTGTATGTTCAGTAGTTTACAAGTTCTTGGTGAACTGAACGACGCTCATACGGTTGTCAACAACTGCCCTTATATACCACTTTTGTGGTGTAGGCCGGGGGTGTCTTTGAGCCTGAGGATTTGTGGCCGCCTGGTTAGTGCTGTCACCACGACTGTTGTAAAAGCCAGCACCAATGTGGACCGCTTCTAAATCGTCTTCAGCTGTCTTTGAACCTTGCTATGACGAAGTGGGAAGCTGCGATCACAGCCAGAAAGGCACTGAAAGAGACTTAATCTGGGTTCATCTGGGAAAAGATTTGACTTCACAGGATTTAGGTCAAGCCGAGGTTAGCTTCGTCTCCCTTCTCGGCAACCAACGAGGAGACTCGATCCAGTGCCTGGAAGAAGGAAAACAAGAATATATAAATACATTAATTACCACTGTTTGACAAATTATTCCTAAATGTGTAATAAAAGTCGACGGTGTTATTTTAGGACAAGTACAGAAATTTAAGTATCAGAGCACATGGATAACATCAGATGGAAGATGCATAGTTGAGATGAGAAACAGAATAGGACAGGCAAAAACTGCATTTGATAAAATGAAGAATATCTTGTGCAAAATATCTTTGTCATTGAGAGTTAAAAAAAGAATTCTTGCTTGCTACATACATCCAGTTTTAACATATGGCAGTGAATCCTGGACAATCGGTAGGCAGGCCAAACAATTTCTTGAGGCCTCAGAGATGTGGTTTTACAGAAGAATGCTTAGAATACCTTGGACAGCCAAAAAGAGCAACCAAGAGGTCTTGAAAGAGGCGGGAACCCGTAGACAACTTATCACAGACATCAGAAGGAGACAGTCATCATTTTTCGGCCATGTTATGAGAAGAGGGAAAATAGAACATGTTGTGACAACTGGAAAGATCTGTGAAAGGAGGGA